ATGGACTATGTTTTAGGCAAAACGACCACATACAAAATTAATATGTATTAACAAATTACTGTAGGATTTCACACATTTTTTTCACAGGGCAGCATCAACCTCAGAATTCATTTAATTGCAAGAAACCCATTCTTATTTCTCAGGGTGCTTCATATGCCTTTTCAGGCACATAATAGAATCTTAGAATTTCACAATTTTTTCACAGGGTAGCTTTCATATTTTAAAGCAGTGATTTTGATTTCGCAGGATGTTTCTTACGGTCGAGGGATATTTCACATGTTGTTTCACACGGCTTTTTCAGTTCGACAAAGTATGTTACAATTTCACATATTTTTTCACAGGGTAGAATCAACCTCATAATTTTGTGCAAGAAGGACTTTTCATTTCACAGGGTGTTTCACAGGATGTTTCACATCCATAAAAGTTTCACATGGTTTTCACATGAACTGCACATAGGCTTCACAGGGTTGCTCCCAGTAGTAACGATGGCGGCAACGGGAAGGTCAAAATAGTAATAGGTTTAATAAGCAAAAAGAAAACTTTGCTGACGACCTGCACGTGCAACAAATTTTCTTTAAATTTGTTTGCCACTCTGAATAGCTACGATCTAAACTGCGAATAGCCGTTGAATCGTGCCAAACACTCCGCTCGAAATTGAAAACAATACAGGGCTAATCTGTAAACACTCTCCATCCAAACATGCAAGACTCAATCACAAGGTCACGTTAACTTGAAAAGATGAGAAATATGGAAAAAGGAAACCCAGTCGCTACACCACACTCTTCTGTTTGGGACGTACTTATGAGGTGTATTAGCCCATTTTCATAACTACTGTTTGAACAAGTTAAACCCACCTCTATTTTAAAAATACTTTAAGGATCCTAGAGACCTATACATCACTGTTCTCTCGATTAGCAGTCGTCAACGGATACCCCACATCTCAGCACTTCGGCTTGGTCGTTGCTATTAGCACCTTTCTTTTAGTCTTAAAACATTGTACTCCTTAAGCTATCGCGTCCAGAAATTCCTCCACGTCATTAATCTATTAATGATTTCCAAGGGCCCAGGAGGGAAAACGTGAAAGTAGTATAGGGACTATACCGTTTCTTTTTTAAGTGGAATCTCATTATAGTGAAGTGGAATACACGACGACTTCGTAGTGTTTTTTTTTTATCCCGGAGCCGATTTATCTTATGAATAAAATACGGGGGAATCTCATTAATACCCTGGCTTAATCTATATATTAGACTTGACAAGTCGGTGTCTGCCAGAATATTGTGTACAGTGGAGTGTAAGCTTATTCAGGTAGGATTCCGTCGACCATTTGCAACAAAAACTACAGCCGATGATGTGTTCAGGAAACAAAAAGGAACCAATGAATGGTATATCATTGCATCTTCCCCTAAAGTTTCTTGTTCACATCAGGAAGATTTAACTCAAATCTACAGCTTAATAATTAGTATACGTGTCGAAATAGTCGACCATCAGATGACCTATGTAACAACGAACCACAGTCGGCAGGAACATACCTTTACCTTCCACAATCCAGCTGACTTATTGTTCTCCAACTTGATTGGAAGCACGCTTCATATGAACAACAAAACAAATGAACAATCCGCCTTTAAAATAATGGCGATTTAGGGTGCAAAATATATAAACTCCTGTTGGAAAGTCCGCGTGAATTTGAAATGATCCAACGTAACTTCATTTTTCGCTTTTCTGTTGGTTCAAAAGGCGCACGTGACGACTGGAGTCACTTAGTGGGAGACTGGTAACCAGTAAGTTAAACATCAAACATGGAAACATGGCGGGTAATCCGTTCGGTGATCGAGTTTAGTGAGTCTAAAAAGCAGTCGTTTTAAGAGCTGAATGAAATATTCCAGGAGGAAAAATTTGCATTGTTTTTTGAAAGAAACGATGGCCTTAATTACTTACTCAGCTTCAAAGAAAAACGAGTTGTGAACATTGTTTGGACTAGCTCAGGTACGAGTCACGACCAGTTGCTTTATACTACATACACTTGTGGGTCAAAAGCTTTTTTCCGGTAAAAAAATTCACACAAAATATGTCAAAATTTATGGAGCGATCGTTGTGATCGCTGTGGTACATGTAGACTTCAGTTTATGGACAGAGATTTAGTAACTCGAATGAGATTACAACATGTAAGATCATTTTTTAGCAGTAAATTAATCGCAGGTATGGAATCCAAGCCGTGTTGAAGAGTGTTCTTTGTCATCAGGCAAATCAATGGGAGAATGGACTATGTTTTAGGCAAAACGACCACATACAAAATTAATATGTATTAACAAATTACTGTAGGATTTCACACATTTTTTTCACAGGGCAGCATCAACCTCAGAATTCATTTAATTGCAAGAAACCCATTCTTATTTCTCAGGGTGCTTCATATGCCTTTTCAGGCACATAATAGAATCTTAGAATTTCACAATTTTTTCACAGGGTAGCTTTCATATTTTAAAGCAGTGATTTTGATTTCGCAGGATGTTTCTTACGGTCGAGGGATATTTCACATGTTGTTTCACACGGCTTTTTCAGTTCGACAAAGTATGTTACAATTTCACATATTTTTTCACAGGGTAGAATCAACCTCATAATTTTGTGCAAGAAGGACTTTTCATTTCACAGGGTGTTTCACAGGATGTTTCACATCCATAAAAGTTTCACATGGTTTTCACATGAACTGCACATAGGCTTCACAGGGTTGCTCCCAGTAGTAACGATGGCGGCAACGGGAAGGTCAAAATAGTAATAGGTTTAATAAGCAAAAAGAAAACTTTGCTGACGACCTGCACGTGCAACAAATTTTCTTTAAATTTGTTTGCCACTCTGAATAGCTACGATCTAAACTGCGAATAGCCGTTGAATCGTGCCAAACACTCCGCTCGAAATTGAAAACAATACAGGGCTAATCTGTAAACACTCTCCATCCAAACATGCAAGACTCAATCACAAGGTCACGTTAACTTGAAAAGATGAGAAATATGGAAAAAGGAAACCCAGTCGCTACACCACACTCTTCTGTTTGGGACGTACTTATGAGGTGTATTAGCCCATTTTCATAACTACTGTTTGAACAAGTTAAACCCACCTCTATTTTAAAAATACTTTAAGGATCCTAGAGACCTATACATCACTGTTCTCTCGATTAGCAGTCGTCAACGGATACCCCACATCTCAGCACTTCGGCTTGGTCGTTGCTATTAGCACCTTTCTTTTAGTCTTAAAACATTGTACTCCTTAAGCTATCGCGTCCAGAAATTCCTCCACGTCATTAATCTATTAATGATTTCCAAGGGCCCAGGAGGGAAAACGTGAAAGTAGTATAGGGACTATACCGTTTCTTTTTTAAGTGGAATCTCATTATAGTGAAGTGGAATACACGACGACTTCGTAGTGTTTTTTTTTTATCCCGGAGCCGATTTATCTTATGAATAAAATACGGGGGAATCTCATTAAGATAACTACTAAGTCGGCCACAGCCGCGTCTTGACATTCATTAAGATAAGGCCGTGTGCTAACCTTTTGGATAGGTTTCCCAGTTATATTTCTTATCGATAGTAAGAAAAATATTCATCATTAGTTGATTCATGTTGCGAGGAATAAGTGCAAGTTCTACCACCTGCCGCTTTCATTGTCCAACAAATTGTACCAATTGTGGTTCACTTGTTCTTGGCGCGCAAATCTCGCATAGTAATGAGGACGACGGCAAACTAGCTCTTTTTTAAAAAAAAAAAAAACAAATTTTCACTTTCCCTCCTTTCTTTTTTGCTCATTTTTTGAGCCGAATCCACCTCACATCGAGCACACATCGATCCTTCACCGATCTACCCCTCATCGACCCTACATCGATCCCTCATCTACCCAACCCACGTCGACCCTACATCCTCCTTTCGTTTAAAGACAATTTATTTGTAATGATACCAACCTTGAATAGTGAAACTGTATACCGCCACCACATTTCTATTGTTTTCCCTCCAAGACCACCACCTCATTTCTATTGCTTTCCGTCACCACCACCACATTTCAATTGTTTGCCCTCTCCGTCACTATCACCACATTTCTATTGTTTTCCCTCCAGGACCGCCCCTAAATTTTAATTATTTTCCCTTTCCACCAGCACCACCACCACCACATTTCTATTGTTTTCCCTTTTTACCACCACCACCACATTTCTATTATTTTCCTCCACCAACACCACATATCTATTGTTTTTCCTCCACCACCACCACCACTACATTTCTATTGTTTTTACTACTCCTCCACCACCACCACCACCACCACCACCACATTTCTATTATTTTCCTCCACCACCACCACATTTCTCTTTTTTCTCCCAAGACCACCACCACATTTCAATTGTTTTTCCTTACCACCACCACTGCATCTCTATTGTTTTCCCTCCACCACCACCACCAACACCACATTTCTATTAATTCCCAACATCATTATAAAGCAATAAAATAATCCATTCCATTTTGTTTGAGATTTGAAAAACTGGTTTCCCTTCACCATTGTCGCCACCGTCACATTTCTACCATTTTCCGTGACACGAACATTTTGATGAGATAGGAAGATAGACTTAGAGTCCAGTCTTCTAATAACGTGAAAGGGACCACCTGTTTTAGGCAAAAAGAGCTAGCTGTTTACGAAAGACTAAATCAGGTAACTTAAGCAACAACGACAGCGATGGCTACGAAAAATTCACTTGAAAAGTTAATTCGCGCTGCTTTAAACTTCAAATATGGGCAAATTTTTCTGGACTTGAATTCTAAAGGACTCATCTATCGAAGTTTAGAATAAGAAAAGGGAAGTCGTTGCCTTGTGTTCAAGTCCTCCACGAAACTTGAAATTCTGGTGAAATCAGGCAGTTTCACATCATAGTCGTGCAGTGACTGCAAAGAAATCTACAAAAGAGTGTGCTGCACGTGCAAAGTTGTTGTTTTTCAAATCTACACCCATATCTTCTTTGCCGTTTGCCGTCGCCGTCGTCGTTGCTTAAGCACCCTATTAACCGACGCGACCGACACGTCTTGCATTAAAAGTAAAAGAAAATTTGCAGCCCCTTTAAGGATCATGCATCCTCCTTTTATGTAAAAATGAGATAAATTAGTACCAAATTACAGCAAAGCTTGCCCTGGGCTGAGAAATCAATAACTATGAATTATACCCAAACTTACCTCTCCTAACTTTGAAGTTCCATATCCTGCTGTCACTAAAACTGCTCTCAGTGCTGTCAGTGTTTGCATTTGCAGCACTAAGTGAAGTAACTGCGACCTCATACTCCTTCCAACAACCCAGGTGCAAGGTGTGGTTCGAACAATTTTTGTCCACGGTTACGGACCTCCAAGGACTAGTCTCTACCAATGAAACCTTTCTGTAGTAGACTTTATACCCCAAGACAAAACAGGCACCATTCAGCGGTGGTGCCCATATAATAACAACGGTTTCTCCTGCTACTTCCTTGTCTTTATTCAAAATTATAGGGACACCTGAATAAAATAAGTGATGTTAAAATTCTTGAGACTGAAGCAAGGGTGATTATACAATCATCTGAGCACCTTTTTTGGAAAGTTAAAAACTGCTTTTTGTTGGAATCATGTATACTTTTTTTTACAGTAAAGAAGACAGTTCTGTTTCGTTATTGGTCATTGGTCGCTACGGAGTCACGTGAGAAAGCGCACGAACCCGGGAAGATCAGTTGTGTGCGATCCTTCGGGAAGGTCGGACGTTTGTTGTTTTGCTCGCTCAGTGCTGAGCGAACACCGAGAAAATCGCCGTATGGCTGCCGAAAATATGAGTGAAACGGACCCCCTTTCACCGGCAGAAGAAGACAATTTACCTTCTGAAGAAAATGAGTCAGCGAATCACTCGCCCCAGGGCACAGACAAAGTAGTGATAACGTATTGTCGGCCATAACCCAAATGAATTCCACCATGCTGCCCATGGAATGAAACGTTTAGCTGACGCACCAGAAGACCATGCTACACCACCGAAAAGGAGAAGACAACCTCCTGCACCTAGTGCAATGAGCGATAGCGGAGATTCAGACCCTGAACAGTCAGATTCCCAGGAACTCAATTTCCCGCCCAACGGCGACCAGCCAAAACCGGGCAGCTGTGTCACAGAGGACGCATTGCTCAATGAAATTGCTCAAGACTTTGAGTCGGACAATTAAACTGACCCGAAAGTCGCTCAGAAATTGGCGTATATCGTCAATAAGCGATGGGATTCTAAGTTGGAGGAAGCAAAATTAAAAGAAAAATTGGCGAAATACAATCGACCCGATAATTGTGAGAAATTAACTGTGCCAAAGGTCAACCCCGATATATTGAATAAGCTGAAGCATGGGACCAAGAGCGCGGATTTACGGCTTGCAAACATTCAGAAAGTACTTGTCAAAGTCGGTAGTGCTGTCGCCAAATTTGACACACTGCTGGCCATCCGTGCAGATCCTGAGAAGACTTCAGCGTTGGCTCTCACTGAGAAATTGGGGAAATTAGTCACGTATAACGCCGACGCTCTGGCATTGTTAGGCCATGTAAACATTGAGCTGTCTTACCGTCGACGGGACGCTATCAAACCAAACTTAAATGACGAATATTCCTCGTTGTGTGGCTCTCAAGTACCCATCACGGGCTTGTTATTTGGCGATGAGCTGCACTCTCAGCTTAACAATATCAAAGCGACTAACAAAATTGGCCATACGACTACTGCAAAGCCATCTTATCGAAACCATAGCGATGGTTGGAAGGGCAAATCTTCTCACCCTACTGGAAAGCCTCTTTTAGGAAAGAGGAGCCGGTCTTAACGGCCACACAATAATTTCTACAAACCACGGTAAACCGCGAGGAAATCCAGCCAGTGAAATGCTACTGATATTCCTACAGATAAGGTAAATATGTTACAGTATCTTGAGTACAAAGTTCACTGCTTTTAAGCAGGGGGTTGAGAGAATATTATAATCAGTGGCAGGCCTTAACCTCAGACCCTGAGATATTGCAAATGATATTAGGCCAGCCAATTGAATTTGCTAGGACTCCATATCAAAGAGTAGTTCCCAAAGCGAAGAAAATCCTTGATTTTGATGAACAGCATGTTATTGATACCAAAATAGATAAACTACTTGCTCAAGGTGTTCTTACCCCAAGTAGTCACGAAGAAGAGGAATATGTCTCTCCTGTTTTCACTTGGCCAAAAAGGATGGCTCCTTCAGAGTTATTTTAAATCTCAAGTGCCTAAACACTCATGTGCAATATCACTATTTTAGAATGGACTCACTTAATACTGTTGTACATATGATAAAACTCGGGTGATTTATGGCGTCAATAGACTTAAAGGATGCTTATTGTTCTGTACCTATCGCCACTGCAGACCAAAAATACCTGAAGTTTCAGTGGCCAGGAAAACTGTATAAGTATGTTTGCTTTCCAAATGGATTGGCATTTTGCCCCAGGAAGTTTACTAAATTATTAAAGCCAGTATATTCACATTAAAGACAGCTGGGTCACCTTTCAGCAAGTCATATTGATGACTCATATCTCCAGGGTGATGACTATGATGACTGTGAAAGAAATGTTTGGGATACTGTCAAATTATTTGATTCCCTCGGGTTTACTGTACACCCTGAAAAATCATCCTTTGTTCCGCAACAGCGAATCACCTTTATGGCTTTATTATAGACTCAATTACAATGACAGTCTATCCAACTTCTGAGAAGATCGAGAAGATAATTCATACCTGTCAAGGCCTTTTGCAGTGCCCACACCCCACAACTAGGCATCCACTCTTGGCATGGGTTGCTCATATCAAATTTTCTGGCAGCAAAGCTGGGGCCCTTGCATTTTATGTCACTGGACATGGACAAAACTGAGGCCTTGCGCTTAAACAAGGGTAACTTTGATCATTTATGCAACTGTCTGAGTTGTCTCGCAGTGATTTACAGTGGTGGGTAAACTCAGCAGGGTCACTGCATAGCGTTGCTAGCTGGAGATGCTTCAGTGGTTTCAGGGTTTAGAGAAATTCATGTTCAACGAGCCTGGCGTGTTTATTCAGCGACTGGATTCGATTTTCGCGAAAAAAAATCGTGCTAGTTTAGGGTCGATCGGAGCCACGACGCTGTCGTCAGCCTCCTACCTTGCCACTATACTATGTAGGGAAGATATAGCAAACTACTTTTCTCGAAACTTCGTGTGCATATTAAGGACAACAACTCGCCTCATGGTAAGTTTTATTGATTTTTATTTCCATTTTCTACCAAATTTCCAGACCTAAACGTCGCCCGATATGTTATCTATATTTACTCATGTTATGAAACCCGTTCGTGACACAAACAGTGAGCCTGGGTTACCTGTGATTTAATCACTGTCGTAATTGAAATCAAATGTTTTTGGGAAAACAGAGATAGAATGGAAAGCTCTTTGGGAGTTTTAAATGACTTTCAAGACTTGAACTTTCTTACCTACCTCTTACTTTGGCAATTTCATCACGGGACAGTGCGGTGCCAAAAACATACAAATCCATCACTGATCCGTAGAACTGTTGATCATTCCAGTGACCGTCGTTGGCAATCTTGTAAGGGTTACCCGTAAGTGTGTAAAACTTAGTCCCAGGAGTAAACGATCTGCTACCCACTATGGTGCCGTTACTGTAAAGGTAGGCATTACCTGTCACGTGGTTCCAGGTGACTGCAAGGTGCGTCCAGGTATTTAATAAAAGTTTAGCACTTCTAAAGTACCACCATTCAGTAATGCCATGGCTATGGCGCTCAAATTCCAGCCGATCACCAAAGATGATAAGCTGAAACTGCCATGGATTCTGCCAATCATTATAGATTGTCTGTGTTCCAGATAACCGCGTTTGTTTTATCCAGCAGCAAATGGTAAAACTCCTGCCGTTAAGATGAACTGCTGGGGCAGTAGCGAATGAATGTTGAACAAAACGAGGAGCCATGCTGCCTGAACACCATCCTTTGACAAAATCCAGTGGTTTGCTAAAGCTACAGTAAAGAAAAAAATAATTAGAAGATATATACCGCATTTGGCGGGCTGTATATTTAACAATCTTTGAATTCGCCTTTCGTATGATATTAAGAGTTATGCAGATCGAGGGAAATGTTACCCACCAAAGCCGAAGGCCGAGGTGAATAACAGCCTTAATTCGAGATCTGCATAACCTGGAACATCAATGCCATATCATTAACAGTATATCTATGTCCTGAACACAGACCCATGCCAGCTGGATATGAAAAATTAGGCGGAGGACTTAAGCCAGTAAACTAAGAAACATTATGTAAGAAAGACAAGGAAGAATGGTATTCGGTTGAACGAAGTCAGCCTTCTTTGATTTCCATTTTCCCCTATTTACAAGCTCTGTGCCTGCTATATTTTAAAAAAAAGCAATTTACATGACTAACGTTATATTTTGATCCTTTCCATCTAGCAGCCAGTGACCAAGGATTAACATCTCTAAAGGGAAGAAAGGCATTTAATATAAGGAAAGGGGAGCGCAGTCTTGTCGAACCAGTTAAGAGGAGACTTTGAATTCCCTTCTTCTGGACTTAGCCAGAAGAGATTTCATGCTCTTCTTGTAAACTTTGCAATTATTTCGCCGGTAAACCTAGCGTCCCAATGAGCTTCTCAGGATGATAACTGAAGAAATCAACTCACAACATATTTTTAGTAACTTAAAATAAAGCGATCTTTAATCCAGCGGAACGTGAAGTATTTAAACAAAGTGTGAAGAAGAGTCTCCCAAGAGTAGTACAGCTAGTAGGGGAAAATAATTTTGCAGCTTTTTTTCAGATTTTGATTCAAATTTTAGCGCAAATTAGCGAGACAGCTCTTTTGCAGTTATATATATTGAAAAGTGAGCCTATTACACAATAACAACCCAATACAAAGAAGCCGAATATCATTCATTATTTTTATCACATAGTTTAAGAAGCAAATAATTAACTGAGAGTGTTTACCTGGTGGGGGCATTCTACAGCATCTTAACTTTTCAATACAAGCGGATCCTTCGCAGAGTACTCCATAAAAGCCAACCAGATAGGACCAAGCTTCGCAAGTGTCCCATCTTTGACTTTGTAAAGAAATCCGTGTTTTTTCATGGCAATCCAGATGTGCATTTTTAAAATTTCTTGGCCTGCAGCAACTTACATGTTCAATGTTTCTAAACGAAGAGCCATTTGAGTAATAAAAACCCTTCAGGAAATATCCGTCTGGGCAGGTAGCCCAGCTAAAGTTTCTGGGGAAAGAAAAGTACTGCTTTTATTGCGTTAAATGATAATATAATAATTGCTCATAAATAATAAAGGAGCAACTCTAAATTCGTTAAAGATCACTGAAATGTCTCTCATGGTTCTCTCATGTATGCATGTTCTTTGTCGGCAAGCTCATCTGGTAAAAAAAATATTCTAGGTATAATCTTCCTCATATTCTTCGCATGTGCTCTAAATCATTATAGAGAGACTGACAGGCTACTATAAAACATTGAAATATCAGGCAAAACAACAGTTTATTTCTACTACCGTAGACAACGAAAAGAATTTACCAGAATATAATTATAAATAAATAAATAAACAGTACATACAGTAGTGGTACACCCAACTCGTTTAGGGCTGATTTGAGTTTTCTTATAAAGAGCATCTCCTTAATTAGTCAACCAAATTTGTTAGAACCTTTAGTGAGCACGTGAAATTGTTCTGAAAGAAAAGGTGGTCAGCCCGATTCTACTCAATTTTGCTTTGCAAACAACATAATTGGACTTTAAGCATTTATTCAATTGGAGTTATGAAAACCGGGTTAGCAAACATTTTGTAATTTCTCTTAACTTCCCCTGTCTAATAGCTTTTTTACTGAGATTTGTGTAGAAGTGGCCGCATGTAGGCAGAATTCGCAAATTTCTATCTACCCCCCTCCCCCTTCACTACCTCCATCTGTTTTTTCTTTGTTTTGTTTCGATCCTACCCACAATTCTCTATTCAACACAAGTGACAGTTATTTGAAATCAGTGGGCGCCTAAAGCTGGCTTCGGTGCCATTTAGCAGTTAACATTTCGTTGTTGGTCACCTTGAGAAAAGTTTCTAGGAGAGCACACTCATGCAAAGCTCTGAGATGCGACAAAGTTATTACGATTCGCAGAGTCTGCATCGTCCAGTATCGTATTGTATTCTCGTTTCATTTGGTGAAACGGATCAATCATCCTGATCCGGACTGAGACAGAAAGATAAGGTATTGTTCTTTTTTCTAAGTCGACCACTGAGTTTTTGGCCTCGGGAACAGGCTCTTGGGAGTAAAATGACTTAGGCGAGATCGGCGTTGCAGGTGAACTTTGACCCAGCCTAAGACTTTTTTTCCTGGTGTGAAAACAAGGTCTATAGGCTGGTCTGCCGATCGTGTAATTGTACATCCGGGAACTTGAATAAGGCGAGTGTAAGAGAAAAGTTCAGAGGTGTTTATCTGCCAATAGGCTGAGTTTTTACGAGTTATTCGATGACATTTCGCTTGTGTTAAAACGTCCGAAGATTAGGCGTGGTTGTTGATAGTCTTATCAGAGCCCGAAACAATGTGATTGTGTGATTTCCGCATGGTGTTGACAGGTATGTGGTTGTCTCGCCAAAATACTCTGTGCCGGTCTTTTGCTAATCAGGAACCAAGAGGAGAGTCACCTTAAGAGAACCATGGGTAAGAGCTGAGTTTCTTGGCAATATGTACTTTAGTTGAGTCAGTTTAAGGTGTGTGGCCTCCAGGAGCCCGCTGGTGCGGTTTTCATAAATCCGGCTAGATATATATATATATGAGGATACAACACATTTCTTTTTTGTATGACACCTATATTTCGAGTGCATTTAGCACCCTTCTTCAAGGTGACTGAAAAACCCGTACAAGAGTCTTCACTTTTTGTTTTGGACAGTAAAACTTGACCGTCATTCTCATTGAGTCCATATGGTGCCAATGTTCCCATTTATAAATCCGATGACCCCCTTTTTCCCTAAATTCCTTCTCCCCTTTGACACACTCTATCAGTTGTATGCTCATGTCCTCCAATCCTCTATAACCGGCACTGTTGAAATGGCGATAAACCAGCTCGCCTTTTTCCTTTTGGCTCTTGGTCAAACCTTTAATTATGGGCAGTGAACCTGCTCTTGTGGTTGTTGAATCGGGTTCGAAATTTACTTATAGTTGATCCTACATACTAGACTTGGCACTTTTTACAGTTGATCAGATATACTATGTTACGAGAGTTGCAGTCTAGATTATAATTGATCTTGAATTCTTTACCATTTCTTTTATTGCAAAAGGTGTTACCTACATAGAAATAATTACATATCGGACAGCTTTTGGACGAACAATTCGATGTTCCAGTGGCTTTTTTCTTTTGGAGCTTCCGTGAAACGGGCACGTACCGAATACTGGGCTAAATTCTTTGGCTTTCTGAACGCTACCATAGGAACTTCCGGAATAGCCTCTTTACAGTCTATCCATAGAGTCTGATTCAGTCGATTCACGATTCTCTTGGGGGAATAGTTACACCAAATAAGGGCGCACGGAGGGGAACATTACGATGGAACAAAGGGTGAAGAGACTGAGGTACCATTGATGAATCAAATTGGAATGGCATCATATAGTGATCGAGTCTGTTGTGATGGTCTTCAAGTGGTGGTTAATTTGTCTAATCGAGAACTTACATCAGCTGAAAATTCTCTGTTATCTAAAGGTTTATCATTTTGTCCCACACCGAAGGATATTGATGTTTTTACGTTAAGGAAAGACGTGTCAGATTCGCGAAGTCAGATTGCTGGAAAATGTTCTAAAATTTGCGTCATTTTAAATTTGGACTCGTTGGAATTCTTCTAGGGACCATTAACTTACTGCCCGGCGTCAGATAAACGTTTTTAATCGGCCTTTGAACGAGTTTTATTGTTTTAAATTGCCAACTAGTAGAATGAGTTGATATTTTTGCTAACCCGGTTTTCAAAAATCCAGGTATAAATATGTTAAAATATATATTAAGAATATCCTAGTCATAGCTGGCGCTTGTAAAACATTAAAACGTTAAAATAAATAAAAATAGTTTTCTCTGTGTTTCAATAAAAAATTCAATATAAAATAATTAACTTTTTCCAAAAAAAAAATTAGCAACAAATTAGGAAATAATTTGTTGCACGTGGGAAGTGCTGGAAATGCAGATGGTGGGTGTTTCCACAGTCGTTTTCAGTCTCCTTTCTATGTTCAGGGTCAGGTGTTTCGACAGCATTGCGAGCGCTTTTCGAAAACATTCCGAAAGTCGAAAGTATTACGAAATGTTTGGAATTATTACGCAAATCCAAAGCATTCTGAACTTGGGAACCATTCCGAACTTTCAAAATCATTGCGAAATTTTCGGAATCATTCCGAGATTTCGGAAATTTTTTACACATGGCGGGCTGTATTTAGGAAGAGGTCTACTTGGTGTCCTGATAGGCAACAGTAAATGAGTTAAATATCATCATTTTTGTACTCAATTATGTCACTGCTTTCGTATATACTAAAACAATTATTCACCGTAGTGCAGGTGGCTAGTGGTGGTATTTACCTCGCCGCTTCGCGAGTCCGTATTACTGGGGCAAGTCAAAATACAAGAGACGAGTAAAAATATCCAACGATACTACATTATAAACCGTCTAAGAAGGGATTTATTATTCAACACGAGATGTTTTGAAATAGAACTCAGTAAATACGTAAAACGAGAATGCGTGACTGATTAACGTGACTCCTTTGCAAGTCCAGTTTTCGCGCTCTTTATGCAACGTTGTTGCTGATTAATGGTCTAAAATGAAAACTTGTCAAACTAGTTTACTCAGCAAATCAAATTTTGTCGGATTTCCCGGGTTCGGGGTGCTATTTTTCAACAGTCTGCTAGGAAAACAGAGATGGAATGACAAATAATCGTGAGGCTTATGATGGTTTTCCGGTTCTTATGTAAAACCGACTGCAAGAAGGTAAACTGAGCAGAGCAAATTGCGATGGGAAGAGGAAAAATCTCCCACGAACTGAAGTAGTCTTAGAAAGCTACTCGTAAACAACGGACTGGAAAGCACAACATCTGGAGTCTTCCATATCGAGTTTGCTCACATTTTAAACGGACTAGAAGTGAAGACTGTTAAACTTCTCGGCGGGGATTGTATTTAATCAACGTTGTTTGTGTCTCGGATTGTCGCCGTCACCGTGCATCTCATGCACACGTTCATGTCTGTTTGATTTTCTCTGTTGTATTTTGAACGTATGATGTCTGTATGATCTGACTATTTTTTTTAAATGTCGACATTAATCATTGTTGGGGCAACTTTATTCTAAAAACACGGTTTTATTCAACCTTAAAATTTCGGGAAACGATATTTTCTGCCTTGTGCGACGTTTATAAAAAAAGCCGGTCAAACTGGTCTTCTGGAGTACAAAGACCGTGAGATATTTGCACTCGTTTTGGGTGTTAGTAGTCCTCTACTGAGTGAAGTTGAATAATAACAATGATATTAATCTTTTAGCGGCTCTGGTCGACGAAAAGAAAAAAGGAAATGTTTTTTTGGAATACAATTTTAAAACCGCAAAATGTATGAAGAAGATAATATGTAAGGCTGGAGCAATATCAGTACGTATATGATAAAGATGTCTGACCTGTCAAATTTTTATCGTCGCCAATTAGCATTTTCCATCAAACTTTTCAATACAGAAATTCAAATAGGCGAGCTTCGTATTCCCGGGCGGCCTAGGACGAGTGCTTGTTTTTGCGCGAAAGTGAGGCTAATGCACCTCTCACCCAGAAGACAAGCAAACATGAGAAAACCGCGGCTGAGTTGCCGCAAAGATAATTTGCGTTGAAAGGTTTTGGAAGTCTCAAAACTTATTTACAGGCTTGAGAAATCATTGTTTCAAACAGCAAAAGGAAAATCAGCTCGTCATCACTAAGAAAAACAATGATCCTAATCAGAATTTGACCGAAATAGTGGTCGGTGACTGAGTTCAGTAAATTAAATTCGAAGATGGTTTCAAAATCCTTAAAAAAGGTAAAATCCTGTAGCCTTTTTAATGTTATTTTCAGTGATGGATAAAACTTCTTTGAGCCATACCTTTCACTGGAGTTTATGTACGTACTTGTCGAAAGCCTGCAAGTTAAACTGAAACCCGTCATTTTAGTTGACATTTTTTCTACCGAAGCGAATGCAAAATCTTCTGTATTTGAAAAAAAAAACCGACAGGCAGACGTTCTGTATAACTACCTTGTACTGTAAGAAAGTTAAATCGGTTTAAACAAAGATTGCTAATTAAAAATAGTATAAGATAATTTATACATAAGCTTTCCTTTATTCAGTCCGATAGAGAAAAACGTACGCACAATTAAGAACTCGACAAGAACTCGAACACAGAATTTTATACAGACGATATACTGGGCAGTTTAAACTCCATTTTATAGATATACGCAAGAGTAAAATAGAATGCTAAGAAGTAAGATAATTAAACGGAATAAAATATAGTGTCATTTTAGCAAACTTCACCCTTTTCAAGCTTAAAAGTCTGCTTCTTTCAGTTTTGTTGGCTTCGTCGCTTTTTAACTTTCTCCTTTTAAGTACGATCAGCTTTTCTCACAATTTTGTTGTTTGCAACAGATATCCCTTTGGCTTACTGGTAAAGTTTAAGCTTTGAAATCTTACTATTTTTAAGATTTCTATCGTTTTACAGCGACTCAGCGGCAAATTACCTATGTTTGTTTTTGTTTTTGCAAAGAAGTTGACCCGCATTAGCCTCTCAATCGTGCTTGTCCCAGGGCCGTCAGGGAATACGATCTTGCCTATTCCTCAGGCATGACTGCAAGCTCTCTCTCCGTTTTTCTCCCCTGCCCCCAGGGCTCGCTCGCAGTTTAGAAACATACTGACTACATTATACACCCTAACAGTCTACCTTTAATTTAGCACCGAGGCACCAGCTTTTTTGTTTTACTGACCTGTTCAACGAGGCATTCCACAGGACTTCTATGCAAACGGGAACTTCATCGCGATAAACGAGTGGAGGTGTGCAGCATTTTCCTTTTGTTAAGAGGTCAATGCCACCTATTGGGCCTTTGGACTTCCGTAAAATTCCAAACAAGTATCTTCCTATCCGTGAGCAATTCAGTATCCATCCTTGCCGAGTAAGGTTCACTTCCCATTCTTCCTCATCGCAGCACATTCCATCTGAAATAAACAAATATTTCGGAATATTATTCTATTTTAGAGGGAAAAATTGTCCATTTTAAATGTGGAAAAGAATATCACATGGTACTATTACTGCTGGGTGTTTATTTAACCCATCTCATTCTCCTTTAGGCTCTCTCCGGCTTTTAAGACACTTTACACACAAATGACTCACATTCTCCGCCCCGTTAGGTTTTTTCTCAAGCTATTATCCAGAAATCACTTTTCTTTAGTAGCTTTTCATTAATTCCACAGAAATATTTCGGTTAAATAAATTTAGTGAGAGTTAGTTGGAATGACAGAATCACTTTTTTTTCTCTTTAAGTAATATCGTAAGCTCTACGTTAGTTACCTTCTCCTGTGCTCACAGTCCACATCTGTTTGTCCCTCAAGTCCCTCTCCTCAAAAGCAGCGTACGAGGAAACTACTATTTGATATTTTCTCAAGCATTCTATGTAAAGAGTGTGGCTGTTGAACACTGCGCCTTCTTGCAATTGTGATTTCACAGACACAGAGTTCCATTTGCTTTCTCCTTGTTCTCTGTAGTAAACGTGAACAAATGGGCACGCCTTCCTCAAGATTGGATTCCATTTAACAAGAACGGATCCTCCTGCTAGTACGTTTTTTTTATTGATCCGATAAAGACCTTCACAGGATTTGATGACAAAAGAATTTTAGTAAATGTTACGATAGTCATTAAGTAATTATTAATTAGAGACAGTATTTGTAAAGCTAGAAGGTTCGATACATTTTCAGATGGATAAAATTTTTCTCTCTAACTTAACCTTCGAAAATTACCCTGTGGCTCGAAGCTGCTGCCCGCAAGCACCCTTCCCTGTAAAGCCGGATTTGTGATAAAATTAACCAAAAGCATCATCAATGCCCAGGGTTGCATCAAAGCGTAACCACTTTACCAAATTGTTTTATTATAAATCCTTTCAGTCTTCCCTTTACGGGACGTTAAAAGAAGGCAGAAAGACAAGAGAATGGGCGCTTTCCATTTAGTCAAAATTTCCGGAATTTCTGGTTGGGTGGTAAATGGAACACGTTTTGTCGGCTCGTCCCACTGGAAAATTCCCAGAAAAAGTGGAAAATCTAAAAAGGTGGGCCCGTTTTCCCGGTTGGAATTTCCTAACGGAATGTCGTGTTCCATTTACCCTTCTCGTAGTTTGTACCAGTTCCAGGTCCACGGTCGGGCTTCGCGACGTACCGGTGTTTGCGACCAATTGGAACAACTTTTTACCAATCGGAAATTCCACTTTTGCTCCCACCGAAATTTCCAGGTTTTTTTCCTAAATGGAAAGCGCCCAATATTACCAGTCATTTTTGCCTAGTGGCATTCAATTTTGAACCTGTATGCTCTGTAGGGCTCATGTGGCTCCTATTCACTTGAGTATTGAAGATACCGTACAGGGTAAAGTTTTCTCCGTTGTATAAATCTTGTCCCTTTCTTACTTCAAACCTGGTTTTTCAAGACCAACGGAAGGACAAGCGCAAGTATATACAGTGCAGGAGTATTGTGTCAAGTGAAAACGAATGCAGACGTTAAGGGCTAAAAAAAAAAAGAAATAGAAAATTTATTGTTTTTTTTTTAGTATTGAATGATTAGCTACCGAAATAAGCACTAGAATTTACCTTTTCCCATATTAAGGGGCCCTATAACTAAGAAGTTGTGGGGACCATTAAGGATGCTTTGGGTCTGACTAGTTGATACTCAGCTATTTATAACAAAGAGTGCAAATTAATTGCCACTGCTGGTAGTTTACTGTCATATCTCGATGTTTTTGCCCAAGCAAGGATTTCGTCCAGAAAGCAAAATCCCGAGCAGGTATCCTAGTAGCTCGCTCGTATATATAGAAAAGTTCTTAAAGTTGAAATATACAGTCAGTATGCCAGAAAAAATCTCGATCTCTTGATCAGGGGCCACATGGAATCGTTGGGTAGTGATGACGTTTCTATTGTTAACGCCCGCAAGTAAGAGATGCTATTGGTTAGAATAACGTAAGACGGAAAATCCGCGAAGGGACCGTTTAAGCTGATTTTCTGACACCTACTGTATAGTCATACTTCGATACTTTTTGCGTTACGTGTTATCAGTGACATTCTGTGGAGCAGCTGTTTTAAAAGTTATGGACCAAAAGACTCTCGATAAGCGCAGATGAAGTCATAAGGTGCGTATAACCGTGTATATACAAACACTTGGAGAGTTTGCCACACACGTGTTCACAAATCTTTGATTGGAAAAAATTTCGAGGGGGATAAGACTCAGTCCACAAACAAGCAAGACGAGTGAGTCAACGGCTAGCTTATCATTTGCAGAACGATGGACGATTACAGAAATTCGCCAACAATTAAATTCTGTGCTGACGTACTCATCGTTCACAGATGTCAGTCTATAAAGATTTTCTGCAGTGTTGTCTTGATATAGTTAAAAACATGACTAGAACATGCGAGGGTGAACTGATCAAACCTTTTGATTACTAAGGCTTTAACTTTCCGGCCAATAAAATTAACTGTATGTAAAAAGTGAAAAAGAAAGGGCGAAAAATTGCTACTTCTAATGTTTTTTTTTTCTCATGGTTTAGAATAAAATATTTTCGAAACTGAGAATGTCATAATCAAAGCTGTGTAAATCGGCCTGAATCAGACCTTAATCAATGCATGGAACCTTGCGTTTCCTGTTTTTATCGCATATATTATATGGAATATGTATTAAAATCTTTAATTATGGATCGGTATATTTCAAAGAGCTACGCAACGACCAAAAATACTTTTGACCTACAAGAGTCATACAGGACGGGGCAGCTTTGGTGTTAACTACTACTAGTTTATGTATGCGATTTAGGTTAAGGAAAATCATACGGTGGAACCTGACTAATACGGACACCACGGGGACATTTATTAACCGGGTCCCCGTATCAAGCGGGCACTCAAAAAAACCTCATGGACGCATGATTTATCGAAATGAGGAGGAAACCAGTCATTCTCAAGAGAAAACTTTGTTTAATTAACCAATTTCCATATTGAGCAGGTTAATTTTAGAGAATTAGCGAAAATATATGAGCTTTTCGTCGGAACAAATGAAACTTAATAAAAGGTCCGTATTAATCGGATGTCCGTAATGCGAGGTTCAGTACACTTTTTCTGGCCGAGGCCGTCACAGTGAATATACAGTGAATATTAAGTATACTGAAGGGCAAAAGTACTTTAGGATGATTTATAAAGTTATGAATCTCAAACCTCTTAGCTCATCAACGTCATCAACTGACGATGCCCAATTCAAGACACTTAGAAGCACCACTGAACCGTTGAACTGGTAGGCGTCTTCATGCCCAGCGTTACCAATGGTGTATGGCTTCCCCGAAGGTCCGTAGAACGTTTTTCCGGCAGGATATGATTTGGTACCCACTATTTTTCCGTTGATATATATCAACACAGCTCTCATGAGGTGATTCCACGTAACCGCCAGGTGTGTCCAGTTACTTAAAGACACGTTAGTACTTTGCAACGACCACCACTCTTCACCGACATTACTACAGCTATGGCGATAAAACACGATCCTCTGGTTCATTGTGCCTAGCAAAAATTGGCGTGGAGTGTTCCAGTCACCATAGATAGCTCCGAACGTATTAGCAATCCATGTAGTTTGTTTTATCCAGCAGGAAATTGTAAAACTACTGTCACTTAGGTTCATGATCGGGGTGGTAGCAAAAGGATTTGTTTGGTTGAAAACGGGAGCTTGGACGCCTGGACACCAACCGTCAATAAAGGACAACGATCCCTTGAAACTGGAAAAGAAAAGTGCAAGATGGTATAAATTGTAAGACAATTTAAGACATATATAGATAACTAATGGATTTTAACTTTATTTAAAACAATAAATTAAATATATTATACAGTCAAATTTCCACATCAAAATGCAACGGAAGGAGAGAAATGTATCGGCATTTTATTTGATACCTAAACATCACAGGTCACGACATGACACACCTGATTTTTGCTGATTTGCATAACCACTCTAAAGATCACTCGAGGAACACAATGCCAAATAAGCCAAAAACAATACCTTATTTAAGGTTCGACACCCTTAAAACCATACCCTATTGGGCAGAAACTATTTACCAGTCAAGCAGGTGGATTTGCGTTCACCCCTTCATGTCTCATTGTATATTCATGTGTATTGTAGGTAGTGAGAATATGTTACTATCTAAAAGATCAGGGGGAAAAATTTTAATTCTTCAAAAAACATATTCAGATATTAATTATGAAGCTACTTGGCAAAGTGAATGGGAAGAAATGGCCTACTTTAAATGCATTGGGAAAGGCTCAGCTTTGACTTTGGAGGAGGCAATAACGATTGCTAAAAACGTAACGTAGACGCCATGGCTAGTCAGGTTAGTTATGAGGCCAGAGTTCAAAGGCAATCTGACCCAAGCAGCAATCCGTCAATTCTATGAAAAGCAAGAAGCCAGGCATAAAACAAAAAAAGAAACAGCAGAAGGAAAGAGGTGGATCACACAATCAAAAAAACACCAAGAGAAAAACCTGTTTCAGTTGTGGAGCAAAGCCTGTACATCCAAGAGGTCAATAGCCTGCAAAGCAAAGTGTTTTTAAAAAGTGTGGAAAACAGGGACATTATGGCTCTAGATCTGTTTGTAAGTCCAAAAGAGGAGGGAATGTTAACGAGTTACAAACCCAGCCTATCGATGCGCCCTCAAACGAAGACAGCAGAGCGGAAGACTATACGCAAGTGTATTTCTCTGCGGCCGCGCATTATTTGAAGACGGTAATGGCAAAGACTCTTAATTACTCTCACTCACAGCCTCACATTCGCCCTCTTTGGGTTAGTAAGGAGCTCGATCCCATCACAGGTTTCCAGATCTCCTGTAGAGTCGATACAAATGCAAGCTGCAACATTTTACCTCATTACAAAGAAAAATCTATTTTTGGAACGGACCTCAAGCTGGGACAACCGACAATGAATGTGAAAGGGTACATTAACAATGACATTTCAGTTGAGAGTCTTGGATCTTGTTGTGTGTACCTTCATTATGGCAAGCAAACATACAAAGTTTCATGTATGGCAGACAGCAAAGATTGCATGATCCTGGGCAGGCACCAAGCATTGCTGATGGTGAATGTTAGCCTCCCGGAGATCCAGCAGCCAGCTGTCAAGGCCAAATGGATACGTCCATAAAAACCATTACTGACAAGCCTGCGAAACCCCCTGCAGAACCAGTTATTCCAGTGTTACAAGAATGTACAGACAAGAACATAACCTTATCTGATAATATAATATTCAGTTGAAGGAAGATTACAAACCTGTCAGCATCCCCCTCGTCAGGTAGCAGTGAGCCTTAAACCAGCCTACAAAGCAGAGTTGAAGAAACCAGTAGAACTTGAAGTAATTAAAGAAGTCCAAGAGTACACTGAATCGATCAATTCAATTGTTCCTGTGAAGAAACCTGATGGTTTCTGAGGTTACGCCTTGATCACAAAGGAGGTCTAAATAAAGACATTAAGCACAACCAGTGGTACAAAAGAACAATTGATGATGTCCTACCTGAGCTGGCAAACTCAAAGTACTTCAGCCTACTCGACGCCAAGTCGGCTATTGGCACCTTTTCCTGGACAAGGAGAGTAGTTTGCTGACGACCTTTAATACACCATGGGGAAGGTACAATACTTGGCTACGCCTACCTTTTGGGTTAACCGTGACAGGTTACAGGTGACGTGTTTCAAGAAAGACGTGACAGAATCCTGCGGAGTGTTTCGACTACTACCAGTATTGCGGATAATTTCCTGTGCCCTGGCTTCTTTTAAATATAATTAGGACTTATGGGTCTTGAACTGGGACTCATTTATTCTGGATTAGGAGGCATGATAGGATGAGTCCCGGGTCTCATTATTAGCAAATTGTAACAAAATCGCTAAAGATACAAACGTTCTATTATTTTTCTACAAAAAAACAGAGGATACAGAAAAACTCCAAAAGGATCTTCATCCACTTGAATGCTACAGCTTACTGAGTAAGTTGTGAGTTTAGTACTTGTAGATGGTTTTGGGTTCAATGAACGTGTCTAGTTAATTGACAGTTCCTATTTCGAACCACTCCTTCTTTGTCAGTAGGCGGCTTCTCACTGATTGGTCCAACTCAGTACCAGACTCGGGTTTCAAGCCATGGGCTGAAAACACGTCCAACATAGCTTACTTCAGGAACTTGAAGCTTCACTTCCTTTTTGTTGCTCTTCAATCCTACTTCCCTGCTTCTATCCCATAGTCGTCTCAACTTCGGCAGCATCACTTTAATCTGCACAGGAACCCCTTCAAAGAGTTTGTCCATCCCCTACTAGTAGTTTTCAGGAGCAGCAGAGATACCAGGGGGAGTTCAATATGGGGAGTTTATAGAGCTCTTTATCATCAAATGGGATCTCTCAGTACCCACTGCATGCATTCAAGGAAATGAAAATTGAACATGCATCTGAACGTCTTTTGGCAACCTCCTCTAAAGTAACCATTGGATAGTCTGGTCTCCTAAAAGCTTTGTTTAGGTCCTTTGGTCTATACAACTTCAGACATCACTCTATAAGGGTGGAGTGCTCTTTTCTTCCACTTTTAATTTGTCAGTCACTCTTACATGAAACTCAAGGGGCGTGTTCCCCTTCTTTGAAAATAATCTCATCTTCTTCCATCTCTGTGAGCTTCTCTTATGCTGGTTCAAGAAGAGCATGGAGATTTTTCTGGGAGTATGTACTACTGGAGAAACCAAGAGATCAACTTCCAAAAGCACTTTACCAGGTTTATCACTGAAAGAATCTTCACATAATCCCTCAACACAGGATCAGTTTGGAAGACACTTCGTGTTTGATGCACTGATAGGTTTTTGTAGCTCTGGAATATTAGTCAGTTCGAAATTCATCGATTCAGGATCTCTAAGTCTAGATTAGCATCACAACCCATCACAAGATATAGGTATATAGATATAGGTTGATTTCACGAATCCCATATTGATTTAGAAGCTTTTCCCAGCCGTTTCTTTAGTTTAGAGGCAAGGCACCCTTTGAAAGGTAGGTGGTAGGTAAAGTGTTGGTGTGTTAAACTTGTAAAACAGTAGGGGGTCCATCTGCCTAAGGGATTTTTCCACAGGTTTAAACGGTACCCGTGGTACAAGCTGATGGAAAGATGTTTATGTTCTGTTAGAAAGATAACTTTGCAACCAGAATGAGGTCAAATTAGAGAAACTGAGATTCGGAAATTTCATAGCCTGCGTGGCCGGCGGTATTGTGTGGGTGCGAGATTAAAGTTTTGGCGGCGGAGCCGTTTTCCAAAAAAAAGGGAGTAGGGACGAGGCGGTTGAAATACCGCCTGCCAGAAAACGCCGGTATTTTGAGTAGCCCGCACACCAGTGTGCGGGGAAACGGATTGGTCGAGGGCCATACATATGTCAATCATGTTAGATGATCCTTCGCATATATTTCCCAATTTAGGGAGCAGATGGCAAACTGAAAAAAAAGTACATGTACAGTGATTGTGATTTCCGCTTTAAAAAGAGCATAATTGATGACCAAATTTCCGAAATGGCGTCTTTAAACTTCAAAGCGCTGGAATTGTCTTTATTTAGCCGTAAGAAACAAAGGTCAAAGAAAATTAAAACACTATACAACTCCATCTGAGATCAAATCCTATCAGGAACACCTACAGAAGAATAAACCACCGGAAATGGTTACTCAGTATGCATGTAACAAACCAGCTTCATGACCTTTTAATGTTAAGCCTGGTGTTGCAAAAGAAGATTTACTCAGTCAAAGTTTACAATGATACATGCACTGTGTAGTGCTAGTAACCTTCGCGCGAGAGCCGAGAAAATAAAAAAACCTCTGTTCAAGCAAACTCACGAGGTCACGTTTCACATTATCACGAGCTTAGGAGTCGTGTTTAGCCTGTCAACGCTTATTTCTAAACTGTCTCGCGTGAAAATAATCGGAAGTTTCAAATTGCAGGTTTCTCTTTGACTGGCTGATTTAATTGCGATCAGCTAAGGTGACAAAGTGGGCGGCATTCGAAAAATCATGGTTCTCTGGCAGGCGGTATTTCTCGCGGCTTCGCCGCTCGTGACGGCTCCGCCGTCAAATCTCACTCGACTACGTCAAATCTCACCCGACTACTACACAATACCGCCAGCTACGCAGGCTAGAAATTTCACGAATCGTTTCCGATAGTGGATGCTATCAAACTCCTGCTTAGACACACAGGCAACAGGGACATGGGAGTCGATTATTCCAGGCACACCCAAGGTGCCCTTTCTCTTAATGCACGAACCCTAGGCTTGTTTCCAGTCATTCGAGAAAAGAGGTGTTTTAAAGACAGCTCATTCGTCACAGGTAGAATTTTAATTAGGGGCACCCAGTATGACACCGCTAGTTTTCGAATGCCATTCCAAGAAGCCTATGACTGACGATTTTGCATTGATCATTCTTAATACCAAGATTTTCAATCTCCTAAAAATTTGATTTTATCCTTGTCTGACCGCTATAAAATTTTCACCACTGACTGACTTTTGATTGAAGTTAGTCAAAATACCGTTTTAAGTAAATCGATATCACTGTGACAACAATAAACAAAAAACTTAATAATCGATTAAACCAGAATTTTGCGCGATCTAGACCTACTGAAAAGCCAACACCAGGAACTTAAAGAGTGGCAATAAGAGAATTTAAAAATTATGTATATCTGAATTCAAACAAAAAGTAAATATATATCACAAACCTTATAAGCTTATAAACCTTAGTCGAAATTGTTTCCAATTGATAAAAAAAGTTTTTAATATTTAAAATTAATCTTAAGTAGCGTCAGAATGCTGCTTTATATCATATTTCGCTGCTTGGAAATTCTGGTATATTTTTTTCTTGCGATCCTGAAAACTAGCCTTTTTTCTCAACACCAGTCGAAGTGCAGCGTTATTCTAAAGTTAGACTTTTAGCGATCTTCCCTAAATCTCTAGATCGACTCGACAGAATTCATTTAAACCTTATCACATAATCTTGACGATGTATATAATAACGTGTAAAACTGTCATGAAGATTGATTGACCGCAACACCTTGAAATCTTCAGGCGAACCTAGCCTACGATCCGACCAAAAATCCGCATTTCAACATTCACTGTTTTGACGTTATGCTATTTTTTTTCCAAATTAATCATTAGTAATGCGCACCATTGGCTTCACACTAACTCTCTAGTGTAATTCAAGTGTACTTGGAACCTATTTTGAGTGTGAAGAGGTAAAATGTAACTACCTCAACTTTACTTGGAGACCACGAAACGTTCGTAGTTAAAAGAAGCCGAAGTTCGTCGCCAAGTATGGTTTACACCACCCGTGAGAACACACTTGACCGCGGGGCTGTCACCAAGAGCCGGAGGTCGGGGATTTTCCCCGGATATCATGAGCCTGAGCCCCCTAAAAGAAAAAGAACTTCCCTGCTGTACAATTCCCCTCATGTTAGTCGCGTATACTCGGCAACTCAACATTATGATGTTAGCGACAGCCCTGTGGCTTGACCAACTAGAAATGGAAGCCACAAGCACAATGTGCACGTGCAGCGGTTCCAAGATTCTAATGAACGAACAGATAAAAATCCATGATTCGGTTTGCGAAGGGTGTCAGTAAAACGAGGGATTGGGTTCTATCTTTTTTTAAAGAATGCTGTTTTAGGTTTAGGGCTAGGGTTGACACTAACCCTAACCCTAACCCTAACCCTAATCCTAAACCTAACCCTAACCCTAAATAACCCTAACCTAACCATAACCCTAACCCTAAGACAGCATTCTCTTAAAAAAAAAAAAAGATAGACCCCGACCCCGGCCCCGCGTTTTACTGACACCCGTTTGCGAAGAGAATTGTGGAAGAGGCCAAGCCCGATCCCTATGGCGATTCTTTTTTCTGCCAAAAAGCGCGTTGTTCTGCGACAAGATCAGTGACGTGGTGATATTCGGTCGCCGCTCTTTCAATGGATCGAGGGAGAAGTGGATCTTATTGAGATGAGATATCTTCATGCTGTGTGACGTTCCGCGCCTTTTTTTTCACTATTTTTAGATTTCCATTTCATCTTAGAGGTGGCAGTTCCGCAAGATGACAACAGAAATTGTTGAAGGATGTTGAAGACGACAGAACATCACAGCTCCTCCTCGGTTCGCATCAAAGTTGCTCTTACAACGGATTCGAGACCTAAACCACCATCGCTTTCGTATCCTGCATTCCAGTGTATTAGCGTGCATGGAGTGTAAGATCCTGTCACTTTATGCTAAGCCACATGTGTGGACAAAAGACTTTACAGTCTGTTTACGCTTTTAAAAAAGGGCGTAATTGTTTACGATGCGCAAAGAAGAGTCGATGTGGCCTTTTCGGCATCGTTCAGTGAATCAAACCTTCCAAAAAAAAAAAACGAGTTCCTGCAGAGTATAAAACCACTAAAATTACTCTC